GGGTCGGGGCAGGTGCGCGCGCCGCACCTCGATGATGTCGGCGTTGGTGCGGCTCTCGTGGGGCTCGTTGTACTCCGTGTACTTGAGCAGCACCTTGTCCATGTCGGTGCTGGCGTACTGGAACAGCTTGTTGGAGTGGTTGAAGATGATGAGGGCGATCTCGCAGTCGCACAGCACGCTCAGCTCGTAGGCCTTCTTCATCAGCCCGAACTTCCGCTTGGTGAACGTCACCTGCCGGGACGCGTCCGTGAGCAGCCGGCTCTGGCTGCGCCGAGGCCCGCCCGGAGCCCCCACCTCAGGGTGACGGCACAGGCCAGCGGCCCTCTGCCCACACGTGGCCGCTCAGAGCCCACAGCAGGCGCACTGGGGGCGGAGCATTCAAGTGGACGGACCTCCAGGTCTCTGTGCTGGGGCCATAACAAGGTCCGGGAAGGAGAATGGATGGGCGCCCCCTCTCCGCCCGGGGTTGGAAAAGAGAAAGATTCATCTCTGGAAAGGGGGGTTACCCGGGTGTGGCCTCAGGCTGCATATGGCTCGTGTGCAGGGGCGCAGGTCTGCCTGGTGGCAGCAGAAGTCCTGGGACACAAGGAGGTGGGGTCCCCTTCTCCCAACGCAGCCTTTCCTCTTCCGTAATAGCCTCGAGCCCCCTTCCTCCAGGAAGCCCTCCCGGAGTGGCTACGAGGAGGGGGCGCAGAGGCCGGCTCCCTGCCCTGCTCCACCCCGTGCACCTCCAGGTTGTCCTCACCTGTCGGTTCCGCTCATCGGTGATTCGCTGGATCTGAATCTTTTTCCTCCCCATCTTCTCTGGGGGTCCTCAGTGCTAGAAAGCGGAGGGGATCGCTGGGCGGTGGTCTTGGCACGCCTCACGCTGTGCTCATGAGCGGTCTGGGGCCAGCGCTCAGTTCATGGTCTGCAGGATACCTCCCACACAGCCTCCTGGCGGGGGTCAGGAGAGGACGGTCAGCCCCGCTCCTCGGGCATCACGGCCAGGCCCACAGCAGCCCTGACACAGGCTGGCAGTGGCTGAGCCCCATCCTCAAAATGGGGACATGGTGGCATGGGGACGGCATGCCACGGCCAGGCACAGCCGCACCTCACGCAAGTCCCAGCCCCCGCCCACAGGCTGCTGCGGCCCTCAGCCCCCAGGTCAGCGAGCACTGGCTTCTAAGGGGCTTAGAGACCGCCCAGCCCCTCCTCCGCCCGGACCCCACCGAGTACAGACACCCGGCTGGCCGGCAGCTCCTCTGGCCTAGAATCGTGGCTGCCGCTCAGGAGGCGGTTCAGAGGCTGTGCCGCGTAAACCCCGCCAAGTTTGCCGACGGCTGGCATGGGGTGCCTGGTGCCACAATGGGGCGTCTGTGCCCTGGCTCCAGAACACAGCAGAGCAGATCACACCCGCTCCCAGGACCCCCTCCTCAACCAGAGTGCTGGGTACCCGCCCGCTTTCCTCAGTGGGCTCAGCCGGCAAGTCGGGCATGAAGAAAGGGTTCTGTGGCTATAAACAAACAAACCGGCCCTACGGACCAAAGGCTGGCTTTTTTTTTTTTCTATAAAAAGCCAAATAATAAATATTTCAGGCTCTGTGGGCCATACGGCCTCTGTTGTCGCTGGTCAACTCTGTCGCTGCAGGACAGAAGCTGCAAACACACGTGGACGAGGGAGGCCATCCCCGAGTGAGGCCGGGCTCGCACGGACGGGCAGGGGCCAGCGTGCCGACTCTGCTCTAGAGGAACGGGCCATGTCTGGAACCCGAGCCCAGTCTCAGTGGCGCTCCCCAGCCTTGTCCCCTTGCGACACAGAGAAAACACACTGAAGTCCGCGAGGAGGCCATGGGCAGCCGGGGCCAGTGGACACCAGGTGGGGACCCTGCCTCGGTCTGCCTGTCGCCCCACGAGGCCCACCGGTCCAGGAGCTCAGATGCCAGGGATGGGGAGGGTGGGGAGCCGGGTCGCCCTGGCTCCCAGTTCCAGGGACCTTTGCGTCAGGGGACACCTGCTGGGTGGTGCTGGGGGGCAGCAGCAGGCACAGCCCGCGCTTTCTACAGCCTCTTCACGGAGTCCAGCACCCCCCTCCCGCCGAGCACCTGCCGGACCCTGCGGTGGGGTCCAGGGAGGCGGGCTCTCACCTCCTCCCACGAACCTGGGCAGAGGTGTCCCTGCATGTTTGATGACAGGACCCCTGTAATTAGGAAGCCCCCGGCCCAGCCCGAGGGTCCCCCAGTGGGCCCCAACGTCCAGCCTCATACCGTAGCTATGGGGAGGGCAGGCGGGGAGTCCGGGGACCTGGGGGGAACCAGGAATGCGCCTCCACACCCGGCCCCCGGCCCAGGAGTTCGGCCCCCTGCCTCCCAGTGCACCACAAGGCTGTGCTCCCTAGAGCGGAAGCGGCCCGGCTTGGCAGGGGAGGTGGGGAGGGCACGCTGAGGGCCGGGCGGCTACGGAGGACTTTGCCGTGGGATTCTCTGGCCAGTCGGCCCTGGAAAGCCCCAGCCAGGCGTGAATGCGGTCACTGGGTGCCCCTCTGTGTGGCATCCACCCGCCCTCCCCGCCTCGCCCCTCCTGCTCAGGAGCAGACTCTGGCTGAGGCGCGACCTCTCTCAGCTCATGGCCAACTCCACGTCGCCCTCCAAGTTGGGAGAGAGCTCCTCTCAGCTCTCGGGACCCTCGGGACCCTCGGACGAGGCATTCTTACAAGCGGAGCGCACTCCTCTGCCCCCCAGCGGTCTCCCCTCAGGGTGCTGTCCTTCCTGCTCCAGCGCTTACATGGCTGCCCATCACCTCGGCTCTGTGCTTCTACTCGCTGCCTGGCTCCCCAGGACACTGAAGCTTCCGAGGCTGGACCACTCGCCCCCGTCCCACCCTCCACCCCGTGAGAGGTGCTCGGAAGCAGCTGGAAGGAAGTGAGGCCTGTCCATCTTCCTGACCCTGTGAGGAATCCTCCCCGCAGCCTAACTTCCATCTCCTGCTGCAGCGCCGGCGCCCGCCGTCTCCCCGATGCTCGTCCGCCTGGATGGCATCTCCCCTCCAACCACCACTGCCTCTCTGGTCCTCCACCCTCCCTACCCTCGGCTTGGCTGGTACAGAGGGCGAGACTCTCAAGTCTTCTGAGGAGCGGCCCTGAGCACATGGAGATGGAGAGGATGGGGTTGCTCAGGCAACTGTCGCCTGGCAACCAGCTCCCTGGCTGATCTCCTGCACCGCCCCCCCACCCCCGCCTCATGCTGGGGGAGCGGGGATGAGTGAGGGATCAGGGCTGAGAAGACAGGGAAGCCAGTGATCCACCGAGCTTCCTGACGGGAAGGTCAGAGCATCATCCATCCCGAGTCCCGCCAAGGTAGCCCAAGCACGTTGCGTAACCCACGCTCCCTGTCCCTCCTACCTGTCGCCGGCTCCGCCAGAGGAGGCGGCGCCCAGCCCAGCTGGCAGCCCTTCCCCTACCTGGCCAGGGCCCCTGCAGGGCTGCGTACCGTCTCCCCCTCTGCCCTCTGCCCTGCGTCTCCACAGTTTGAGAAAGCCCTGGGTCAGCATCGGGGCCTCAGCCCTGACTTGGGAAGAGAAGGCGGCCAGGGCACAAAGGGCCCTGTGCTGACCTGTCCCAAGCACGGAGGTCTGTCCTGTCTAAGCGCCCCTCCCGCACAGTCAGGGAGGTTTTGAGGAACACCTGGGCCTCCCTAATTAGCCCTCTGCTTAGTTACCGCACCAACTGCCGGGAGCCAGAGGCCTTGGCATCTGCTCTCCAGATGTGTCTGCTCTCCGGCCTGCCCGGGCTCCATCCTCTGCTGCTCCCCTGCCCCTCTGCTCGGAAGCCCTCCCAGATGACCTGGCTTTCGGCCCCTTCTCCTGGAGCCCAAGGCCTGGGAGAGCTTAGGGCTGCCACGGAGGACAGGGGGCTGCCCGGGATGGCTTTCATGCTCTGATGTCCCCAGGGCGTGCCCAGTCCTGACCTCAAGCCACAGCTATGACTCCTTGGCTGGCAGCATCTGTCACCAAAAGTACCCCCTCGAAGCCTCCTGCTTCTGATTCTGATTCACCCACTGGCAGGGCAGGACAGGGCAGGGTGGACCTCCGGGGTGGGGGTGGGGGCAGGAAGAGGTAGGGCCCTCCGCACAGGGATAGAGGAGCAAAGCGGGGGGGGGGGGGGGCACCTGGGCTGAGCCCAGGGAGGCGGGGACCCGCCTCTGTGGAGGTGGTTGCAGAGAAGCCTGTGCGAATGGGGAGCAGAGGAGATGCGGGGTGGGAGGCTCCCCGCCGACAGCACCCTGGTCAAGGAGGAGGGGCCGAGGGGACCAGAAGGACCCTAGGACGGCCATTTTTCTGAGCTGAACAGACCCCACAGGAACCCGTGGGTTGTATTAACGTGCAAATGAGATGCAAAACGTACCCTGGGGGGGGTCTCAGTTTGGAGGGAGAAACAGCCCCCCCCACCCTCCGCAACACCTCCTGGTACCTGAGCAATATTCAAACTGTTCTCGGGTTTCAGAATGATGCTATCTCAGTTCCTGTGTGAGGGTGGCCTGGGGCCAGTGGGGGCAGCGGTCAGGCCCCCCGGGGTGGTAGTTGTTCCCAGGGAGCCTTCCCAAGGTGACAGGCAGGGGAGGGCTTGCCTCCCCACAGCCCCCACAGCCTTCCACCCAAACCGGCCTCAGTCCCAGACTCAGAGGGACTGGGCACCTGCTGTCAGAGCTGCCAGGCCAGCCGTGGTCCGTGGGGGGCAGGCGCCCAAGGAGGCTGACAGCAGCCCCGCTCCTCCTCGCTTCTCCGGAGAGGAGCCCTCAGCAAGCCAGCCCTCGTCTCTCCCTCCCAGGCTGCGGCCCGGAGGGGCAGGCAGGAGGTGCTGGAGACAGCTGTCACCCTCCTCCCGCCCCTTCCCTGGGGCTGGGCTTCAGGGCATGAAATAAGCAGCAGGCGCTGGGGGAGGGGTGACAATCCAATCCACCTGTCACCCCCACAGTCAGGCGGCCTCAAGCAGCCTGCTCACTAATGAGGGAGGAGGCGTGGGTG